TTTTTTTTTTTTTTTTTTTTTTTTTTTGAGACATGGTCTCACTCTCACCCAGGCTGGAGTGCAATGGCACGATATTGGCTGACTTCACCCTCAACCTCCCGGGCTCAGGTGGTCCTCCCACCTCAGCCTTCCAAGTAGCTGAGACTACAGGCGCGCGCCACCACGCTCAACTAATTTTTAACATTTTTTGTAGAGACAGGGTTTTGCCATGTTCCCCAGGCTGGTCTTGAACTCTTGGGCTCAAGCAATCCTCCGACTTGGTTTCCCAAAATGCTGGGATTACAGGGTGAGCCACCGCACCTGGCCTCAAACCAATCTTTGAAGATAGTTATTCAAATCTACTTGTTTTAATGTGAAGATAATTCCTAATGCTTCCTTTCTTTACGCTTTTTTGAAACCTTTTTTGATAGTGAAATATTCTACCCATACATAAATGTACAGCTTAAGGAATTTTTACAAGATGAACATCTATATAGCCACCATTAAGGTCAGGAAATACAATCTCAAACACATTCTTCTCCCTACCTGCCAGAACCGACCACAATCCTCCAAACTCTATGGAAATCACTAAGTGGGTAGTGATGCCCAAACAATTACTTTTTTGCTTTTTTTCATAGTTTCCTCCACTAAGTATGGAGCCATAATCATTGTAGAGTGTAATTTAGACTGTCTTTAATGTATATACAAAAATCATACAGTATGTATTTTTCTGGGTTTTTGTTATTCAAAATTGTGTTTTCAGTATGCCTCCATATTGTTACACGTAGTTGTATTTCATTCATTTACACTGCTGTGTAGTAGGCCAGTATAGGGAATACCATAATCTAATTAACCATTCTATTGTTGATGGATAGTTCAGTTATTTCCAGTTTGCATGCACAGGAGCACTCACTTCTTAGGGAAAATACCTAAGTGTGAAATTGCTGGATCCCAAGGTATACATATCCTGGCTAATGTCAAACCATTTTCCAAAACGGTTGGTTGCATCGGTGCTCACGTCCGCCCGCAGGTGAGGCTTCTTTGCATGACATCCTCCCTAGCACCTGACGCTGCCAGACGTTTCAGCTTTGGACTTTTCCACTCAACTTATGGTGAGTGTGGTATTATCCGCTGTGGTTTTAATTGGCCATCTTCTGATTATTAATGAATTAAAGCACCATTTCAATAAACAGATATTTATTGGCCATTTAGATTTCTCGTGTGTTGGTGAAATACCTTTCCATTTACCCATTCTTTAATTGGGTTCCTTTTCTTCTTGATTTGTAGTAGTTCCTCGCGTATTCTAGTAGTTTTACTTGTGGCAGAGATCTCCTCCCCCGGGCGGCCTCTACCCTCCGGCGCTGGAAGTTCGGCGGCGAGGCAGCCTCTCCCGGGGCGCTAGGGCTCCTCCAGCTCTGTCCCGATGTCGTTTTTATGGCCGTTTGCAGCCTCCGTGCCAGGGCCAGGGGTGCGGTTCGGGACGCGGGATCCTAGGTCGGGTCCCGCTCCGCCCAAGTGGAGGCCGGCGTCTGTGTTGTCTGCGGTCTCCAGGGCAACGCCGGGGCGG